GGGAAAAAGGGCTGCTGCCACCGTGTCTGGTGGGGGTCGTGCTCACCCCCGCCCTGAGGAGCCCAGCATGAACTTCACCTTGAGACTCCTGGATGGTGAGTGCTCTGGGTCTTGTGTTGGGCACCAGCTCTGGTGATGGGTCCCACCGGGGTCCCTGGGCTTGGCCAGAGGCAACCGGCACTTTCGCAGGAGAAGGTGGCCATCCCGGTGGGCCTGGAATAACGGTGGGCTTTGAGATGTTCCTTGTCCTGTGTTTGACTCCATGATGAGCTTTTCGGGGGCCAGTTGCCCCTTGTCGGTCTGATGGGTGACGTGGTCCCTCTTGGTTCCGCGGTGGGGCTGGGGAGGTGCTGCAGCTCTGAGAGCCGGGGGGAAGGCAGGCTGGGGTGACAGAGCCAGGACAGCCCTTGACTTCCAGGGACAGGGTGGGCTCTGAAATCGGAGCTGCAGGCAGGCGCTTGCCTCGCAGACATGGAGGCAAAAACACCTGTGGACGGTGGTCTGGGACATCTGATGTCCCTGTCGGCAGTGGGACAGGCTCAGGGATGTCCTGCTGAGCCCTCCCGCCCTTCTCCTCCAGCCGACCCCCTGAAGAAGATGCTGGTGCTCAGCGCCGGCTCTGCCATCCGTCTGGAGGCCAGGGTTGACTTCAGTCCCGGCTTCTCCCTGAAGATCTACCTGGACCAGTGCTACTGGACCAGCTCGGAGCAGCCGGGACGCTCCAGGAGGGTCTTCATGGTGGTGAACAGCCATGGGTCAGTGCCAGTGGGGCAGGAGGTGGAGACTCCTGCAAGATGTCCTGGTGGGGAGGGATGCCCAGGGCTTGAAGACAGCCTGGGAATGTCCTGGTGTTGCTCTCCTGCCTCAGGTGCCTGCACGGGCAGGAGCTGGGGAGCATGTCTGTCCAGCACCGCAGAGGGATGTCTGCCCTCCAGCTCACCGTCCCGGCCCCGGGGCTGGAGGAGGAGGAGGTGAGTGTGGGGTGATGATGTCCTTGGTGGCAGGACATTGGCCCTACTGGGGTGACCTGGGGCTCCAAAGCGCCACCCCTCCTGGGGCATCCTGGGTGGTCCAGCCCCATGGGGGTGGGAGGGATGAGGGGGGACCCCGAGGAAGGACGTGGTGGCCCACTC